TTCTTGGCTAATCTCCGGCATCTTACACATTTGATGCTATTGTGAAGAAAATCCAATTACAAAGTACTATTCTAAATTTTAATCATCAGAGGACCTCTCATTCCTTTGCTCTTCAGGACTGTGGTAGCCTGGTGCTGATGTGGCCACACATATTCCTGGGTTTCTGTCTCCCGCTTGGTTCTACCATGTTTCGCTGGGGGCCTGAGTTGAGGGATCCACAGGACACTGAAACTCTGACTGTATCCTGAGCATGAGAGGGCTTCAGTTATCAAAACCTTGGAATAAAATGAATTTTTCTAACCCAATTTTGTGTGTATGTGTATGTATGCATGTGAGTATGTTTAAACAAAATGCTCTTGAATTGAAAAAGCAAGCTTCCTATTCTAAATGACAACCTGCAGCTCAGGCTAGCTTTCCTAAGAACCTGACCTCTGGAACCATGTCCTGGGCACACGGGGAAGGTTTCCACAGCTCACTGGAGCAAGTGAGGGGCAGAAAGAGGCCAGCAATTACACACGCACTAGGAATTGTTTCCTGCAGCTCAATTAGGCTTCTGCGATCCTGGTTGGCTGTGGAGGAAGGCTGTCCCATGGCATGTCTGCGCTTTAATAGTATGACATAGACCCTCCACTGAGGTGACAGAGGTGCTGCAGCTACTAGGACAGCTACTCGTTATAAACCTGTACCTGCAGGTTGAGGTAGCACAGATATTAAAAAAACAAGCCAAAGAAGCTCCCTGCAAGGTGCCATCCATGACTATTTCATTGTTGAGCTGTGATCTCCCCTCCCCCTCCTCTCCTTTCCGAATTTCCCAACACTCCACCATGGGCATTTGTTACACTTCTGCATTTGCAAAGATGTTCCCTGGCTTCTTCAGACACAGTCAAGCTAGACCCCAAATCCTCTGGAGGCCCTGCAGGCTGCTGAAGGGGGGCAGCACAGCTTTCAACCTTGGAGCCGAGATAAGCCCCAGCCCCGCACACACTTTTGACAAGAACTTTGCATACTGGTCCGTGGGTGACCCTCAGAGCTCTTGGCTATAAACTCAGGAACTCCACATAGTCTATTCTCAGGTGCTCTAGTGCATCAAGAGAGGTGTGATGGGGTGCTAGATAAGATGCATTTGTAAGCTAAGCATGGACCTGCAGCTTCTAGTTCTCACCTGGCCTTGCTGTCCACAAGGATGAGTCAGGGCAGCCCCGGGCAGGTGGGCTTGGGCACATGGAGGTGCAACCCCTGATTTGGGGCAGAAAAGCTTTCATCTATGTGAAATTTCTCTCATTACCTTACTAATGCTCCTTCTGGCAACTTTTCTCCCAGTCCAATGTTTCATCAAAAAGGCTTTAAGAACCTCCGGCTCTGGCACAGGGCACGGGTCCTGTGCACAGCAGGAACAGTTTCTGAAGTTCCCCTACATGTAGCCAGGTGTGGTCATGGACAGCAGCGCTTAAGAATCTCAGCCCCGGGCTGGGTCATAGCTGTACACTCAAAGCCAGATTTGCTGGTGAAGCCTAGCATTTCTCCACGAGACTGGTCATGTGCAGGGTCACAGGGAACATGGCACAGTAATGAAGACACAGCTCAGAGCTACTGTCTGACAGGGAATTATCGACTCCGCTGAAAAGCATGAGCATCAATGAGTGTGCTTCATGTAAAGGGGAGCGGAGTGGAATTGCATCACACGTGTCTCTCCAGGGCCTGCTCCTGCCTTCTCACACAGCCAGCATTGTGAGTGTTTCTCTCCCAGTCTCACAGGAGGCTGAACCACAGAGGGCAAGGAGTAAAGGACCCCAGATCAGTGGCCAAAGGCTTGTGGGTTTCACTTTTCAAAGAGACACTGCTGACGCTGTGCAGCTCAAACCCTTCCCAAAGTTCCGCAGCCCTAGCATCCTGTGGCCTTTAAGTTTCCTCTTCCCTCATGGTGCTGAGCTGTTAAAGACAATGCTGTGTGTCTTATTTTCCATAAGTTTTATTCATGTAAGTGTCTAAAATTCATTTCCTCAGAGGTAGAAAACATCTTGGAGTTTTCAGCTGCCTGTGAAACTGTTCTCCCTTTCCAAACAGCTGGTACAAAAGCTCACCGTGACTGAGCTGCGGGCTTCTGTGGCAAGCCCTGTGCCTTGGCACCAGCTTGGCCTTCTACACCAACTCAGCTGCTCTTGATTAGGCCTTGGCCACAAACCTTGCTGAACCCCACACCTTTAGGTATTTGTGGTGCCTGACAGCACTGGCTTGCAGAGGCACAGGGTAAACTGAGGTAGGGACCATCTGTAGCATCTGTGACGCAGAGCTGCCAACTCAAAGGCATAAATCTCAAGCATCACTGAGGGGTCACTCAAGCTAGAGCAAAAGGCCAAACCTGCATGCCTTGAGCACTCGGCCTCATGGGCCAGGAGTCTTCCCCACAGAGCCTGGTATGGCAGGGCTGGGATGCAGCTCCTAGCAGTGTGGCCCAGCCCAGCATCAGGGAGACGAGGTAGGGGGAGGTCTAGGGGACAACCTCACACTGAAGCTGACCAGGCTTCTGATTCTGCAGTGTCCCTGTCCCTTGGTACTGCCCATGCTGCCTGTCTGGAGGCTCTACTCCATGAAGGGTTAGCTTTTTGTCACTGTGACAAAATGCTTGAGACAGTCAACTTTTTTGTTTTGTTCAGATCTGGTTTGGTGTTTGATGATAGTGGAGATGAAACCCAAGGCCCAACTATGAGCTATACCCTCAGCTTTTTTAAAAAAATGTATTTGCTACAGTCTTACTATATCATTTCAGGGATCTTCCTATTTTCAGCTTCCCCAGCACTGGGATTACACCTCACCTGGCCTTGATGGCCAGCTCAGAGTGCCCTGGGGGCGGGGCCAGTGTGGCATGTGCTCCCAGGGATCAAACCAAGGTCCCAAGCTCCTCACCTCTTGCAGGCTGCTGGGAAGTGGGAAAGACATAGGTAGGATACACCTCTGACCCTTGACCCCACTAAGCCATGCCCCTTCAAGTTTCAGTCACCTCCCAATAGCACCCACCTGAGTTCCAAATCTCTAACATAGACACATTTGGGGATTTCCCAGGTCTAAGCTATGGAAATTACTGGCTTGGAGCATCAGGTTTTCCTGACCTCAGCACTCTTCTAGAATGTTGCAGGCACATTCCAGGCCAGTCTTACATTCTGTGTTTATCGGATGCTCTGCAATGGGCCATCTTCTCTCCATCAGATGGCAGGGCCCCAGCCATGGCAACCAGCTGCTCTTCAGTGTCACTGACTGTGCCTAGACTCTGCCTCCAACAGCCACCACTGTGGACAGTTCAATACCAGGACACCAGGCACTGAGGGGTCATGGAGCCTGCAAGGTAAGGACCTTGCACTCTGAAAGTAAATGCTCAGTTTGCAAGCAAGGGCTCAGTCTTTAACTTTTCATGAATCACCACCAGAAAAACCAAGCTGGGGCCAAGCTCTGTTGACTCCAGGGTGCCACCAGATTTCAGCATCCTGGGACCCTGGCAAGCCTTAATGGTCACCTCCAGCTTAGTAATTAAGTGACTGCTATCAATGCATGGCTGTCCCTGGTTTTCTAACCTGCAGCTTGCTGGGTGGTGGACTCATTCCTAAGTGTCCCCATTTATGATGCCTTTGTCAAGCCTTTACCATTTGTTACATAAAACAATGATCTGCACAAGGGAAAGTGAATATTCCATACACAAAGGAGGATTAAAAAAACATTAATTGCAATTTAGTGAACTTTTGCCTGTGGGGATCTTGCACCCATGGACTTTTCAGCGCATCTGCCTTTGAATGAAAGTGGTGATAAAAGGCCCAAATGTTGAGCTGGCAGTCGTGCTGCATACCCTAAGCTTAAAATTTAAAAATGGGGTGGAGAATATAGCTCAGTGCATAGGTCCTGGATTCAAACCACTGCAACTGTGGCCCTGGAGCCTGCTGCCAGGGCTTCCACTGGGAAGCAGCTAGAAATGTACCACCTTAGCCCCTACTCCAGTACTGCAGACTCAATAGCCTTTCCAAAGAGGCCAGGCAAGTCCCATGCACACAGAGGAGTAGTGGTGAGGTGAACAAGGGGCCAGAAGTCACCCACACTCCTCAGCCTGCCAGGCTCCACACCCTTCCTGGGATCAGCAGGTATTTATTTGCAGGGTCTCAATAAATGCCCACACCTGTAGTCTGAAAGCCTACAAGGGCAGTCTGCTAGGGATGGGACCCCAGAGCAGGACCTGCTATGCAAATCAACACATTGATTCTGGAGTTACCTCTGCCCCCTGCCACCTCATAGGGCTTCCTGGAGGGTCATCTTCTGAGTTAAGACTCAGAACACCCCGAGTTGCCATGTCAGGCCCTGAGGGATGATTAGAGCAGGCCCTAGAGGAAATGTGCAGCTTTGCCTTTTACTGGGATGATGTATTTATCCAAGATGAGCGTCCAATCACTGCCAGGGCCAACTACTGCCAGGGCCCTGTCCAAACCACTAAGCTCTGGGGATTTCCACTACCCATGAGTAGCAGGATAAAAGGAAGGCACTGTGTAGAACTCTAGCCTTGCCAGGCTTCCTTAATTTTCTTTGTAGTTTTTTTTTTTTAATTAAATCAGGAAAGGCTACCAGACTATGAGTAGATGTTACAAATTTTAACAAAATTACTAGTAAAAAGGACTTCACTTACAGTGCACATATATTTAGGTATTTGCTTATAACTTATCTTTATCTTGCCTTCTATAAAATATAAAACAAATGTCTACAATGAAGTGACACACATGATTATGGCAACTTGCTAAGGGACAACACAGTGATGGGCTCATCTCTTTTCCTGTGAATAATGAACTGCCCCACAGTTTATAACCAAGAAGTGAACAAAGGCAACACTCTTGTTCCTTGCCACGAATGTCTGTAACATTCTTGTCCTGAGTCTGCTGAGTCACCACTCAGCAAGCTCTACAGATGCTGTGGGGAACACCAAGCATCAGCTCAAGCCCTTCCCAGTCACGACACACAAGAAACAGGGGCCTGGCATTGTCAACAGTGTTTTATTTTCAAAGAATTGTTTTGATTTGACCATTTGGAAAACCACTGACATTTTTCACGTTAGAAAACATTAAATAATAAACAAGATGTTATACAGTACTTTGGATAACTTCTTCCATCAGTTTAGTGCAATGTAGTATTGGCACCTTAAAGTGAAATTTTCAATTATTTTCCACTTTGCTCTTTGGCTGTGCAGTTCTATGATCCAAAAGGAAATGAATCATTAAAAATGCATCTAAGACCATATTCTTTGTCCTTTACACAAAGGCTTAATGATCTCTACTCTCTTCCAGCCCTGTCTCTCACAAGTTACAAAGACCAGCTCTTGGGCCTACCATTAAGTGACACTACCATTTGATGGAACCTGGGAGATTCGAGGTGAAAGATGTTGTACATGACACTCTTAGCACCCACATTGACCTGTCATGCATGGAGCAGATAAAAGTACCTGCACCAGAGCTCTGACCTGTGCTCCTCAACTGGGGCTCTCTAAAAACATCTGAAACATCAACTGTTGAGCAAGTGTGAGGTTTACACCTTTTCCAGGAAAGAAATGCTTATAATCCAAGTTAGGACACTGCTGAGATATGACAGTACTTATCCACAGCAACTTTATTAGGAATAAATGGTGTGGAGGAGTTTTCCCTTTTGTTTCTGTCTGCTTTGATTATGCTAGAGTTTTACAGAAGGAGAACTGTTTTAAAAGAACTCAGCATCGTCTTGTTTGGGCCACTGTCTATTGGGAGGTCAATCAGAAAGGACTAAATGACCGCCCTGTCCAAATCACTGAGCTCTGGGGATTTCTACTACATGAGTAGCAGGATCAAAACGGCTTCTGTGAGATTCTGTAGTCCACTGTTTTCCCTTGAGGTAAGCCTACCTTAAATAGGTAAATTTTCATTTAGTTCTGAGAGGACACAGGAAGAGCAAGACATTGATTTTCATACTTGCCTAACAAATGTCTCCACCAGGAATCACTCTCTCGCACTAAGCCCATGTCCTCTTGTTCTAGAGTGCCCACAGGGGACAGGTGGCCACCGTCCTCTCTGTGCCATCCCCTCATACACATGATAGCAATCTATGGTCTGCCCCTTAACCTTCTCCAGGCTGAATCATCCCACTCCCTCTACTTTTTCATCATAGAGCTCTTTTCCCCAACCCCTTTAGCATCTTTGTGATTCTTTGCAAAAACAGAAGTATTCCGATTACTCCACCAGATATGCAGAAAAGCTGTAGGAGTAAGCTGCCTTTTGATAGTTAGTGTGTCTTTGTGGGAGCTCAGAATTCTGTTGTGGCCTCTGCCTGATATGCAGGAATCCCCTGCAGTGCACAGGCAGGGTCTCAGTGCCAGGACTGCTTCCTCTCCAACCCTGATATGGCATGAAAACATGCCAACTGGGTGCGACCACCTGTCTCAGTGCAGCCTCCGTATACTTCCTCTTCACTTCCTGCTAAAAACAGGGCTTCTCCCAAACCAGAGCTTTGCAAAGGTTCTTGAGGTCGGCCAGAGAGAGCCATGCTCTATGATGGTTCAAGCTGTCAACCCAACAGTGAGGAAGTTCTGTGTTAACTGCATTTTCTTGTCACCCTAGGTTTACTATTCATTGTAGAGATCCAATTCGAGACCATCAGAAAAATCCCATCACTCTTCCACATAACCTGACACCTCTGCCATTTTCCTCACAGCCAGTGTAAGGTCATCACACTGGATGACATTTTGCCATAATTTTTTAACTCAGGAAATCACAAGCTGCCTTTTACTTTGCAACTAGAGTCTGAAAATGCCAGGAACACGTAAATATTTAATATCACTAGCACAGTTACACAGAACACAGCAACTACTAATGAGGAATTCCGTGCCCACTCTACATAGTTGTCTTTATAAGAAAAATACAGATAACAAGAATAAATGTATCTTGATATGTTATACGGCCTTCTTTCATAAAGTGAGTGGCAGTAAAAGAGTTCACGTTGGGCCAGAACTATCTTCATCGAGAGAGAAGAAACCGATTTCACAGGCTCACCGCGCATCATAGCTTAAGGAAAGTCAACAATACCACGCATAGCACAACACTGAACAGACAGGAAAACGGCATGTGCAGAGCTCTGAAGTTTTCTCTCGTCATCTGCTACAAGGAGCACTTTGTAACCGGGATGAAGGATGGTGTAGGGCACACATGTGCAAGGCCTCCCTGTATGCACCATGAGCTCAGTGGTGACACCCACGATGGCTTGGATGTGTCTACAGACACCCCATGGGGGAGGGAGGTCTGCTCAATGGGATGGCACAACAGCAGGCCTGTGAGACATGGGTCACACCCAGACCCCTCCTGGCCCGTTGGCCCACTCTACTAAGCCTGGGAAGAGGGAGGGGAGGACAGAAGGGGAGGACTGGAAAGAGAAGAGGGGCTACCAGCTGTGGGCTTGCTAGTGCTCTTCCGAGCAGGGGCCTCTTCTCAAGCTCACGTCATCCAACCCGATCTCACCAGGGTAGCCACGCCTCCTTTCACCCTTGAAGATGACCTAGGAGGGAACACACAACCAGTAAGGTCAGCTCTGCCCATTCCCCCATTTAGTCCCCAATGCAGTAGCAGAATACAGGCCAATCTTCCCCCAAATCAAATACAAAGCCAGGCCGCTGGAGGACACACCAGCCCATCCCAGTCCTGTCACCTGAGGCTCGTTCCTCCCATGAAACTCAGGTCAAGTCTTTGGGAAATCCTCCTTCAGGCCATGTGACTCTGTGGCCTGCGGACCCATTCACCTTAGGAAGGCTCATGAAATGGCACTTGGTGGTGATGACCAAGGTCAGAAGTAGGAAGAGAAGTAGGAAGATGTTCCATGGGATGGGACATCAGGGACAGACCCTGAACCAAACACCCAAAGGATCAGAGCCATGCCACTGCTGGAGGTGTTCCCATACCTCCTTCCAATCTGTGGGGCTTTTCACATAGGGAAGGAGCAAACGCCTCAGCCCCCAACTGTAGGTCTGCCTGTGCACACACTGACCCTTTCATTGTGCTTGGTTTCACCTTCTGCACAGCATCCTTGCTTCTTTAGAACACCAGAGTCATTTGAATGTCTAGTTTGATGGCTGAGGAGATAGCTCAGTGGAATAAGTGCTTGCCTGGCAAGCACAAGGGCCTGAGTTTGATTCCTGTTACCACCAATCATCATCATCATCATCATCATCATCATCATCATCATCATCACCATCACCATCACCATCACCATCTAGTCAATGTCTAATTTAAAACTATTTTCTTGGTTTTTTTTCCCAATTAATATAAATATTAAGAAAAAATAAAACTCAGAGTCAAACAGACTCAAGTACCATGCTAAAAGCTGTATTGATGGAACCTACATTTTCTTTCCAAAATCGTTTGGAGAAATCCTACCTACACATGCACACATTGTCTCTTTCTAGTATGAGTCTCATAAGCAGCAGCATAAAAGTGACACTTTCCCAAATGCATGTGTTCTTTTGGTGGAATGTCACAGATCACTTTATCATGGTTCCATTATTTTTAAAATAAACCTCCTCTCTTCAACCTCAGCTTTGTCTGTGCACTGTCCTGAACAGAGCCGTGCTTTCTGATTGCACTTCTGGCGTTCCATGCAAGACTGTTGATGAGGGCCTCTGACAGGGGCAAAAAAATGAACTTTAAAGACATGTGCAGGCCAGGTGTGTGGGCAAGCCTGTAATCCTAGCTCTTGTGAGGCTGAGACAGGAGGATCCTTGCAAGTTCAGGACCAGCCCAGGCTACAAAGCGAGCTCAAGGCCAGCCAGAACATAGGGATTATCTTGTCTAAAAAAAGAACATTTAAACAGAGAAAAATGAATCGCTACACCATAATAATGGCAGTAAAAGTTGGAGATTTAAGGAACTGAAGATAAAAGAAAAGCAAGCCCAGTTCAGTACCACTACCCAATCCCGCACAAGTTTTTGTCAGTTCTTCACTTTTCTACTCACGCTTTTGATGTCTGCACCCCGCAAGGTGATCTGTGTCTGCCTCCAGCCCCGGCCGCCATCTCTGCCCCACAGGGCTGCTCCATGGCCACCGTGCCTCCTCACAGATACCTGGAGCGTGCCCGAGTGCAGTCCTGTCACCTTGTGCCTGAAGGACAGGCACATGTCCCCCGAGTGCATGAGGCGGCCGAGTGGCAGCACCAGGCGTGCAGCTCTCCCCCCAGAAGCCTTGGCTGCCACAGTCAGATACTGTCCACCTGCAACAGGAAGAGGGGGCCAGGGAGCTGGATGTGAGGGCCACAGACAGCAGGGACAGCGGCCTGGCTCTGTGCTTTCATGAATATATCCTTGGGACTGCCACTAATGAAGAGCTCTGGACTTTGGAAGAAGAATAAGACTTACCTCTCTGCCTTAAACTCTTTAATGTCTGCAAAGATCACTCACTCACAGAGAGTAGAAATCATGCCAGAGGCACACAATAACTAGCAATCTAAACACTACGAATATCTCCAATGGAATACAGCTGCCAGGCAAGCACAATGCTACACAAACACACAACACCCTCATGTGTGATCCTGCCCATCTCTGGCTGTGTTGCCCAACACCCATCACCAGGCCAACTGGGTACACTGGTAGAACTGACCCTACATTTTCTGGGAGAAAATTCTGTATGCAGCGAAGCGCACAGGCTTGCTTATTTATTTATTTATTTATTTAGCGGAACTGGGGATTGAACTCAGACCCATGCACTTGCCAGGGAAGCACTCATTCTACTGAGCCATCTCCCCGGCCCTATGCGCACAGGCATTTAATGAGCTTTGTCAGCTTATTCTCCCCCTGCTTTGCAAACAAAATCTTTAATACAGAAGGATCTTGTAGAGACTGCACTGGCTATGCCATCCACACTGCTCAACCCTAACTCCAGGAAGTCTTGGACATCCTGAACACCAGAGCAGCAAGTGTATGGGAGGATAGTGGCTAGAACACTCCCACAGGAAGGCGAGGCTGTAACACCACACCTACTATCCACAGTAACGTATTTTCTTCTATTATATATGAAGCAGACGTACAATGGTAAACCTGCACTTGACACGGAATGTCTGGTTCTTTGCCTCCTACAAAGTCACTTCTGTCCACAGTTAAAACAACTGCAAATAAAAAACTAAAAGTGTAAGCAGCAGGGTGGCAGGCATGTTGCTTCTCAAGAGAATGTAACAAACGGTATTTTGAGACTCCATCCAGGCCTGTATGACACTGGCTTAGATGGTTTTATGTTCTTGCCAAATGAAAAAGGTGCTGCACATTTGGACATCGGCCTGCCCATGGGGAAGGCACGGCTGGAGCCCAGGAGGCTGCGGATGACCTGGAGTCAGAACCAAACTTTCCTCTGATTTTGATTTCCCAATATGCTCCTAGCATAAAGTAGGCGTTAAAATCACTTATTGAATAAGTGACTTGAGTTCCAGGAATACAGCAAACACTGCAGGAAATAGGTTTTTGATGTATATGTCTAAATCACTGAGCCCATAATCTCTGATCCTTCTTCCTAACCGCTCAACTCTAACTCCAGGAAGCCCTGGACCTATCCCAGTGTCTCCCTAGGAGTCAGCTCCTGAGTCACAGGTAATCTAGTGAATTATCTAGAGGGATTATTTTAAGGGATTATCTTAAGTCCTGGTGGAATGTACACTAATACCATCATTTGAGATGGTGCCTGCAAACAGAACAACCCAAGGCATCCTAATAAAAGGCTCATGTGTTCTTGTGTACACATGTGAAACTCTAACATTAGCTAGGAATAAAAGATTACAACAGTTCTTCCTCTATTGAACTGTTCTGTACCAGGCTTTGCTTTTTTACTATAAAGAATTATTTCCCTATGATATGAGATGAAATGCCGCTGGCTCAAATGTAAAACCATATTCAATATTTTCCTTCAATTTAACATCATGACATGTAAAGAATTAGGGCAGGGAAATAGTAAATAATAGTAGGTACTAGCTGCCAACTTGGCCAGGAAGTTGGAATTTAACAATGAATTCATTTATCTTTAATTCTATACTGGCTGGTGCCTTTACAATCTTAATTTACATAAAGAACAATATCATACCCTTTACTTTAATGTGTTCACTATGTGGTCAGGAGACACCCGGAGGGGCTCGGAGGGTCCTGCAGTGATTCGATTTGCATTTTTATAGCCTGGCCGAGCAACCCAGGTGCACTTGAGATCGTTAAGGCCTGGTGCCATCTGTCCCTGAGTACAGCATCTGATTCCCGCCGATGGGGGAGGGGATACGTAAAGATTCATAGCACGAGAACCTGCTCTTTTTACTAAATATAGTACAGATATTTATGCTAACATATTTTCATAACTGCAAGTATGCCAATAATCATCTAGCTAATTTCTTATTTTTAATTATCTCTTATTATTTCTTAGCTTGTTTCCAAATTTTCACTTTTTAAAGATGAAAAAAATGGACAAGCAAACAAGGTTTAAAAATATTTGTAACAGAGAAGGCCAAATAGTTCAGCAGATTAAAGCACCTGCAAGCAGGCACAGGGGCTAGGGGTTCGATCCCTGGGCCTGCCATGCTGGTCCTGCCCCCGGGGCGAGCTGAGATGACAGTTGAGACTGAGTGTGGTGGCACACATCTGTAATCCCAGCTCTTGAGAGGCTGTAAACAGGTGGATCACTATGAGTCTGATCTAGTAGTGAGACCCTGAACACCCTGTAGACCCATCCCTAAAATACAGGGAAAAAAATTAAAAATATTCGTAACACATGAGACAGTGATACTTTGCCTTTTCATCCAAAAAATTTTTATAACTTAATAATAGAAGAAAAATAAGGGCATTGCAGAAAAAAATGACTTAAATATGTGTACAGATGGTCCGCTTTTCACAAAAGAAAGATGTGCAAATTCAAATTGAAATAACTTTTTAACCTATAAGCTTGGCAGTGATTAACAATAGCTCTATTTCTGCTTTGTCCGTGGTTCTCAAATATTGCTGATGGAAATGTAAGTTGCTACCACATTAAAGAAAGTTCATTTAGTAAAATCTGTCAATATTCAAAAGGTAAATTCCCTTTTCACTCAGTCATCCTTCTGCGGGAATTTATCCTACAGATACATTCAACAAACATGAAGCAGAATTTGTTGAAGGTTATTAGCCACAGTGTTCCCTGCACTAGAAAGGGGCCAGGAACAGGTAGTGCCTGTTGGGGGCTGGTACACACTTTGGGGTGCAGCTGATGGATGGGGCAACACAACTGTAGGCAAGAATGAGGGTGCTCTGTGTGGACAGACGCAGGACAGTCTTCAACAACAGAGACTGACACGGCTGACGTGGTGACCCTGGGCAGACACTGCTTAAAAAGCTTTGCAAGATGTGTCACAGAGGGTATTGCTGACCTACCTTTAACTTGCTCAGGGTCAAATGTAGCAGGCAGGGCTAGGCTTCAGCCTAGGCACTCTGGCTACAGAGCCCATGCTGTTTGTGTTAGTTCTTCAGATATTACCATCAGGTAACAGAGGGCGTGCCACCTCTGCAGACACGTCCTTTTCTGTTTACATACACGAGGTATGATACAATATGGTGTGCATAAATTTTTTAAGTCATTGCAGTAAAAGATACATTGTCATTAATCCCACCCACCCAAAGCCTTGCACACATTTATCCCACCCTCTTGCCACTTTCCGTAGTAGCTCTGGAAGGCCTCTTTCCTGAGTGTCTTTCCTTGTGTTGGTGTGTGCATCTTGAGGTCCTGGGCTGATTCAAAACGTTTCCCTTTCATGGTCATTTGGGCTTTGGGGAAGAACCAAAAGTCGCAGAACGCCAGATCTGGTGAGCACGGTTGCTGAAGACATAAGGCCCTGTGTCTCCGAGCTGCCCTGGCTAGATGGCATGCATGGCAGCAGTCACTGTATTTTTGATCCTACCTCACCAAGACACTCAGGAAAGAGGACTCCAGAGCTGCTTCAGAAAGAGGAAGAACAACAGGCTAAATGTGCCTGCAGCAATGGGGAGCAGCTCAGGAGGCCCAATGACAATGTATCTTTTATTATAATTTTTTAAAAAATTAAATATTCATTGTACATTTTTTTTATCAACCTTGCTCGAAAATAATGATTTTAACTCTGATGTGGACACATTTGTATCTATTCACGGGCACATTAGTTTAAATAAACTTGTATTTCCCAGAAGCAGACAAAAACTGGAGCCAGCTGCCTCTGACTCTGGATCAGGAAAGACCAAAGTTCTGCAGATCTGCAGTCAGCACCCTCCCGGCCAGCAGTTCTCCATTCCATGGGGGACTAGACTGATTTTGCCTCACATGATGAAGTTCAAGACTAAATGTGATAAAACCTACCAGCACCAGGACGGGCAGTTAGCAAACCTAGTCATTTCACAGCCATTCCTCAAGGTTGTAAATCTATTTTATTGATGGCTTTCCTTAGCGTATAGCAAGTTTTGCAAATCTAGACCTTGGGTAAGAACTACACACCATTAAGATCAACCATAATGGGAAACCCAAACATCGCATATTCTTTCACAAATGGTACAATCTGGATAGAAACAAGTAAGCTGTGTTAATACCTATAAAGACCTAGAAATTATTAAATTCTTTATATTCTTCTTATATGGTGTCTCCCTCTCCTTCTCCCTCACTGTCTCTCCACTGAAACTGTCAAACTCCACCTGAACTTCTCAGAAGAAAAACAGGCATGAAAAGAGAAACTTCACTGATGCCTCCACACTGGCATAAGGGCAGAATTCCCTGATGTGTTCCAGAAGGCAAACATGTGGCACTTGCTGGCTCACAGAGTGCTCTCCCCCTTTCTTCACACTCCCTGTTCCCATCCTTTTCCCTAAGATAACAATATGTTCAGCGATTTCCCAGAGCCTCCCTCCTGAAAAGGTTCTCACAACTGCAGCTGCAGGAAAGGCTTTCTAACCAACACTCCTGGAGAACACTTCCTCAGCACCTCGCTGTGGGCCAGCCACCCAGCCAAAAGCCTCTCCCAACAGCAGCCCACCCTTCCACTCGCCTGGTCTGGAAATAGCTCTGTTGGAAAACTGAGGGGGAATCACAATCTGTCTCTGTCCTTTTCACCCCTCCATCCCCTGGTGGTCACAGAGGACACCTCTAGCCCTAGGTCAATTACTGGGGAAGCAGGCAAACCCCATTCACTCTTCCTCCAGCTTGAGCATTCCGGTTTCAACTGTTTTTCACAGGCTGAGGACAACTTTCTCCCCGGCTCATTCTATCCTGAATAATCTACAACTAACTCTATCTCAGACCAGAAAAATGTTACTAAGGCACTTAACCACAGCAGATTTTCCATTCTGGAAAGGTACCATATTTTTATGGAAATAGGCCACTTTTTGGAAAGTAGTATCACAGGGTTAAGTCACACTGATTTCACAGCCACCAAAACTCTGAAGTCTTCCATGCTGCGCTGCAGCCCATCTCCCAATCCCAAGCTGTACAGTCGGCTTCTAGATGAGCATATCTGCCCCCCCAATTCTGCTCTCAGTCAGCACCACTCATCTAACCCTGGGCTGGGTTATCTGCACACACTTGCCAGCTGGGAGTCAACCACAGCTATGTCAGTTGTCTTTAGCATCTAACTCCAACAAACAACTCATCCAAGTTGTTGGTAAAAACTTGAACCCAGCCTTGGAAAGCAGCCTCCAGGGGCTGGAGCCAGTCATCCGGAGTTATCCAACCATCCACTGGGCTGCCACCTCCTCTCCATTTGTTCTGTGCTAATGCAGCCTGAGGACTATTTCCACTGTGCCTCATGCAGCTACACAAGTTCCCTGACAGAGCCGCACCCCAGCCCCTGGCTATCAGTGTCACTTTCGGCTCTCTTCACATTTTTCTACCAGAGGGCAAGGGGAATGTGGGTCCCAAATTTAAGCATTTACAAATGTAATAAGTAAAAAGTGTTGAGAAATACTAAGTTGGTTCTAAAATGCTGTCTAAATTCTAAAACTCCATCTTACAGGGGCTGTCTTCCAAGACTGTCTACCACAGATGGGTCATGAGTTCTGAATGTAACAAGAAGCACCCTTACTCCAAAGGTAGTCATCGGGACCACAAACATTCACTGTCCTATTAGACAGGCATGTTGGCCAGAGAGTTCTCCTGCTCCAGTGAGATGTTCCAGTGGTCGGTCCTGTAATCGATTGACTGACGAGACCAGCCTGGGGGGCATCAGAGAACCCAGGACAGGATGCGGGTCCTGCTCATCCAGGAAGCCTGAACAGAAGTCAGAAGACTTAGCCCCTTCTTGCCCCAGCTCTGGCGCTGAGGGACATTCTGGAAACCAATCCAGGCATTGGCATTTCCCTTATGAGATAAAGACAGTATCACCCGCTCTGTGAGGGGGGTAAGAAATTAAAGAGAGGACCCAGCTGACAAATTGGCTGCATCCATTGTCAGTATTAAACATACAATGGATTTTCTCTCATTCACATAGCCTGGTGACAGGAGCATTGTCCTGATTTGAGCTAACGCATGACTTTTGGCGCTACAAGATTTTTCTATGGTACTACATGATTTTTTTTTTAACTAGAAATTTAAGAGCTGATTGTAATTTGTTGACTATTCATGTCTTAAAAAGTTTACCTCAAAATTTCATTTTAAAGTACTTTTATTACAATTCAGTCTTAGGGAGTCTCATAAATATATATTTCAATTTGTTTTAACATCTTGCTCTTTAAAATGTGCACCATGAGCCAGCAGCAAGATCCCTGGGGTCCTTCTGGAAATGCGTAAAACTCAGCATGCTTTATGACCCAAGCTGTGTGCCCACCATGATGGGAAGCAGCTTCCACAGACCACAGGTTCCTGAGCTCATGTCCATGTGCCCCAGGCCTGGTCTACACACTTGGTCCAGTTGCTGGGAACCAGGCTTTCAATATAAGTGAAACTTGTCTTCACATCCTGGATCTTTTGTGAGAGACAGTAGCTGGACTTAGTTAGCATTTACTAGCCACCTCTCTTTAAGGTCATTCTGCCTGATACCTAATAAACTTGGCTCCCAAGAGAAACACAGGCACCATCTTCCCCAACCCTGATGAAGTAAGCACAAAGAAGAGCCACAGCGCTCTTGCCAGCAGAGAGGGCCCAACACACAAGGCTACAGAAAGGGAGGGAGGAAGTGGTTTTCACCTGCTGGGTCCCGGACTGGTTCCCAGTGCAAGTCACTGTCCTTCTCCCGGATCCATCCACAGAGACCATGGTCAAAGTTGCAGCTGTGTATAAGGAAACCTGCAAGGAGGGGACAAAGAGATGGCAGACATGAAAAGTGACCTGCGGCCCACGGCCATGACCACCACATGTGTCACTTCCCACCCACCCTTGAGGACTCTGTGACACCCAAAAGAGATGAACTACCCTCTGTCATCACTGTGTGCAGCTGCACACATGGCCCTGGGCTCAGCCAAGTCACAGCCTACCACACTGTCACTCATAAAATGTGACTACCAGTTCCCAATTCAGACACCACTGTGTTTTTAAATAGAAATCATGCTCCATAACTGTTTTAACTCAACTTATTTAACTGAGTTGTAAAACACACAAAAAGATGATGTACAAATTTCCCACGGAGCTGAAAAATCTAAAATTTAAAACATACTTCAATGAAATAGAAAAAACAATGAAAGGTCACAGCCGCACCCACCTGGGTCATCCTTAGCCTCGTCATCTGCGCTGACTCCTCTCTCTATCTCGAATATTTCAAACAGGTCGTTTGAAGGCTGCCTAGGAACTGCAAGAGAGGGTTTAGGTGCTGATGAAACGACTTGCCTGTCGGGCTGATTGGGATCACCTGGGACATCTACATTTCACATGAAGATTTGGCAAGTGTGTTCAGTGAGGATTAACACTGTAACATTTACCTTAATGTAATTTACAAAAGTAATTTTCAAAGATTTCTAAAATTCAACATAAAAATAAGTTCAAAGCCTTTATCTGGAAAATACCTTTTAGAATAGCTTTGGATTTCTGCCAAGATACTAATCTCCACAAATTCTAAACTGCACCTCTCCAGAGGCTGCTGTAACCAAAATGCCTCCAGCTGCAGGGAGTGCTTTTCTATCCACAAGGTCCCCTCCTGCCCAGTGAGCTTCACGCAGGCTACCATTATCCGTCAGCATGGCCATCCTCCCTGAGGAAGGCCCTTGACTCCTTTAAGTGCAAACCCAGGGTGCAGCCGACCTTCCATCCGCCAAGACGCTATGAGCCACTCATCTTACGTCTCAGCCCCACATCTCCCTCCTGCTCATGACCCTGCCAAAATTTCTTCCTTCCAGGCCCACAGCACCTACCACTGCCTCTCTGAGACCTTTTTGGTCCAGGCTGAGTTGTTTCTTTTTCCAGGCTCCCCTGTCTGACCTATTACACCTGTCTGACCCTCCACAGTCTGATGCCCTAGACAGCATCGTCTGCAGCTTACATCGGGCTTTGCTAGGGTGTGGCCTGGGAGAGACATTCATTGTGCGCTCACCAGGGAAATGCAGACCAAACAGAAACCAGGCACTTGGCTAACTGCCCCTCAAAGGGCACTAGTGGGACAGAGCCAGAGAATCCACATAACCTCTACCAGCTCACAGGTCATTTATGGAGTTATTCACTTGATGCCTGTGTGATTCCCACTGAAATGCCAAGCATGGTGGTGGCACCAGGGAGACAGGGTGAGCACAGCAGACAAGATCACAGGAAAGGGCTTGTCGTGCACTATGAATTCTGGGGGAAGCAGGTAGCATGCATGGAGGTGATGAACATCTTAACAGCAAGCTCTGATTAGGGCTCGCAAGGAAAACACCTAGAGATGTCACAGAACTGTGGGTCATGTGTGGGAAGCTTCTGGTGACCTGAGGAATTCCTGGCCAGTGGCCAGGCATGCTCCCTCCCGAAAAGCAAGACTCCAGCTAATTAACTCCATTAAGCAGGGAACAGCCTCAGTCTGAAGGGGCTCTTTCGTCAGTGCTGTTCCTGTTAGTTTTAGCAGGATTTATATTATCGATACTCGCATTTTTGCACTAACAATTTTAGCTCACAACATCTGGATTTCTTTTCCTTTTTGTTTCAGAAGTGAGATTAGTGAGGCCTTCCTCTCAGAAGCACACTCTTCCACCCTACTGGACATGAACATGCAAAGGCAGGCACTGCATACCTGGGGCCCAGGTGAGGCCACCCTGCCCTCTATTATGACTGACAGCACTGACACCCAGTCACAGCTGTTTGGGGCTCTGAGAAGGGAGAAGCCCCTCTTATTTCCTCAAAATATTACAAAATCCATGCTGATGAAGTAAGGTTGAAAAACAATTAGAAAGCAATCCTGCTTTTGACCGTCTCGTTATAGCTTGTATCTGAGGTACAGTTGCACAGTACCATGCCAGCCAGACTGTCACAGAACAGACTTGATGCAGGTGGTGACAGGGATGCCACAGGTGCAACAGCACATAGGCTGCTATATCAGCAGAGGTCCAGGAGGCCCTTTCTGTCAGCACCACTTACACTGCAAGGGGAAGAACACGAACTTTCCAGCCAAAAGCTTGGGTGGGGGGCTTCTGGGCATCAAGGCTGAGGACCACACTCAGGACATTTGCACCGAGGAGCTCACAGTGTTGGAGGCGGCTGGGAAGTGAGACTGGGCCATCAGTGAAGGTGAAGAGAGGCAGACATGACTCAGAGCCCCCAAAGGAGTCGCCCGAAATCCCATCAAGTACCAACAACTGCTGAATACCAGGTCCTTGGTCTGCAGGAGTCACCTGATCTCATGGGAGCCCAGGCAGGCAGCTCACTGCAGGTGGAGGTACTCAGAGAGCGGAAGCAGCACACAGCAGTTCCATACTCTCCTAGTGTAGAGTGCTATGTGCCCTGTCTGAAAGCTGCCCCGTTATTTACTAATTCTCCTTCCTCATACATGCTAGGGGTGTAATACTGTACAGTTGAGGTGAAAATGCTGAATGTAGTAAGTAATGGAAAAATCACTCCAGTGGTATTATTTTATCAATTGATTATGCACAAAAATAAAAAGACTAGGAGTGACAAATACACCAATATGCTAATCGCAGTAGTCTAAATATTAGAAATAAGTGATGTTTTCTCATTTGTTGGGTCTGTTTTCTTCTGCAGCTCTGTACTTTTTGGATTGTTTGTGAAAACAAAAAAATTAATTATGAAAAAGTACTTTCCTAAAACATGTAAAGGGGTTGTGTCTGCACACACATTGTTCTAAACACGTCCTATACTTCTGTTTTGTTTTTAAAAAATGCTTAACTGACATATCAAAAAATTAAAAACTATACATATTAATGGGGTCCAAGAAAATGTTTGATATATCTCTATGTTAAGTAATGTTTAAATCAAGTGAAACATCTAGCTTCTCAGACATCTACAATATCTTTATAGAGAAGACTTTCAAGTCCTCTCTTCCACGTCTTGGATGTACAGCATGTTACTGTTTCCACTGAGATGAATGTGCATATTGCTGTTGTTATATGGACAGCTGTGGCACTGAAATGTCTTTTTTTTTTTTTTTTTTTTTTGCGGTACCAGGGATTGAGCTCAGGACCTTGCACTTGTCAGACAAGTACTTATTCTACTGAGTTAACTCCCCGGCCCCCAAAGCAAGTGTCATTGTTTTGTTTGTTTGGCAGAACCAGGGATTGAACTCAGGTACTTGCGCTTGCTAGGCAAGTGCTTAGTCTACAGAGCTATCTCCCTGGCCCCTGAAATGTCTTTGTGAAATTCTTTGACTCAAGAGAGTTTGATTCATCAATACAGAAAATGTTAATCAGAATAAGCAGTCTTGATGGAAAACAGAATAATAACCAGAATGGAGATTGACATAGAATTTTTCTATTCTTCCCTACCTCATGTTTTACCTACTATTTAACTTAAATAACAATATGCATATTAAAAAAAAACAAAAGTAAACCTGATATTCTCTGTAGTTAGACCAGTAATTCTTAGAATTACAATGGTGTAATTTTAGAAATTCACACAGGAGTCTAGAAATGTTAACCATACAATTCCCCTACTACCTGCCCCCATTTCAGCTACTCATTCCCAGTGCAAACTCGGTATGGACCAGCAGGCAAAGAGCTTACTGTGGATAAGTGAATACACTTGTGCCTATGGACCTGCCCTCTAGATGTGGGACAGACATCGAGCTCTCCCCATACAGGGACGGTGGAGGAGAGATGGGAGGTGTCATGTGAAGGCACGAGAACTGGGGTTGGACAGAGGTCAGCCAGCCAAGGCAGGACAGAGGTAAAGAACTTCTGAGAGGCAGTGCCTTATGCTAAGACCCAAAGGATGAGCTCCTGCATGCTGGAGCTGAAAGAGTAAAAGGCAGAACCTGACAAGGCTGTAGCTGTGAGCCTGGAGAGGCCGGGTGCAGGAAGGGGAAGGAGGGGCGCAGGAGCAGGTGGGCTGTGCTGTGACCTTAGGGCCGTGCTGACACCCTGGGCTTCACCCTGGCAGAGCTGGAGCGCTTCAGCATGGCTTTCACAGAGCAGTGGTGAGGTGGCTTTCCACATGAAAACAACGCCTGCTACTGCCTACACAGCAAACAGGTGCCCAGTGAGTGAGGTCACCTCAGGACATTCATCACTAAGTCATCATCCACTAACGACACTTCCTAAGTGCCTTTCTGGCTTTGGTCAATGTTTCACCCACCAGAAAATGTTCTTGCCTATGGCTTCTTGCAGCCTTCTGCATAACTAAAAGAGAGGATGCACAAGGCCCTAAGTAGAAGGACAGCAGGACAGAAACACACCCAGGCTCGCTGGGATGGTGGAGCCAGTGGGAAGGTAAAGACAAAAGAAACAACATTCTGGGAAGACTCGCTGGCCTGCACGTCCTGCCCAATGCATGCTCCCTATGAGTGGGACACCACCAAAATGTAGGAGGTTTCTCAAATAGTCCAGTTTATATTTTCACCCAGAAAACCTTAAAAGTTAGTGTGGAGAAGTAAATGCAATATAATCGTGCATACCCTCCTTGTCAAACTGGTCACAAAAAGGGGGTTGGCCCATGGAAGAGAAAGGAATCTATGTCACCATTCTTATACCCCAGTGTCTTTCTGGGGACAGAAAGGGACTCTGAGACTGCAGACCAGAAGTGGTAGGCACAGCAGGGCTTCGTGAGGCTGCTGCCCCTCTCTACTCCCTCCCGTTCTCATCCAGATGCAGAACACAAGCAAGAGAGAGAGAGAGACAGAGAAGAGAGAAGAGAATATAAAGCTTGGAAACAAGCTCCTGCAGATCCTCCACCACATTAGAGCACATCCTTAGCCATGTACTGGTTGCTGGTGACAAGAAGCGGGATGCTGGACCCCACGGAGGCGAGATAGCTCACCAGCCTTCCCAACACGCAGGAGGCAGCAGAGTCCAAAAGAGAAGCAGAAGCACCGGCAGAAACTGAGTCCCTGGGGCAAGGGAGAGCGCAGACACAGCCGCTCAGCAGCGAGTGACCTGTGCCGCAGCTCTTGCTCTCTTTGGTGTCCTGCGCACCTTCTCTAAGGCATCAGAGCACTCTGCAGCGCGGCCTAGAGAAGTCCCAGGAGAAAGGAACGGCCAAGCGATGGCTGCTTTCCAACACAGACAGAAGGTGCGTGAGCCAGCTCTGCCCTAAGGAGAGGATGTGCTCCTCCCTCTGTAAAACCAGAGGACACGGGGAGGGCCAGGCTGGGCACCTGCACCCCAGAGTCAGGCAGGCCCCCCAAGGCTGCCCAGCCTGAGCAGTGCAGACACCCTCTGGGGTGGGGAGCAGACGGCACCACCCAGCAGAGACAGAAAGGTGTCCGCTGAAGGGAAGAAAGGTCGCTTTCATCTCCGCTCTGCATCAGACCTCCGTGCAGCCACCCCACCTAGACGGAGCTCCTCTCTGCAAAGGCCACCCTCACACTTCTCACAGTAAAAGAGCTGCGGTGATGCCTTCTTCCTTTCAATATCACAGCTGTTTTCCTTGGCCTTATAAACACCTAGATGAAACACAATATCCCAATTATTCGGTAATAAGCAAACTTCTATTTTCATTTTCTCTGCCCATGCAATAGCTCATATTTGCAAACTGTTTCAAAAAGATCTAGTTTGCCAAAAATAACATTCAAGTTATAATAAACTCCAAAAAAAGCATCAGAAACATACAGTCAAAACTAGAACATAACATAAAGCCATTGTTTATGATTCATTAGGAAGTGCTCTCATTACTACGCAAATGAATTCACCATCAACAGTAGTAGTAATTTTATTGAGCTCTTACGTGCCAAGCACTACGCAGAGAGTTTTGTGTGTATTTTCTCATCTGATTCATGTAGCCTTCTTCCGAGGTACACGTTATTATTATCCCTGATGTATAAAACTGTAGGAGAATCTGGCATCGTGCCCAGGGCACAAGGGGCGAGGGCTACAATACTTTTAATTACACCTCTATAGACAACTGTAACTTCACAAAGAAAAAAAAAACAAAGTCAGATTCCTGACTTCGATCACATTCACCAAGAACTCAATTTATACTTTCGGGAGAGAAGCATGTTTTTCTTTACCCACCACCACAGAATCCAATTAAAATATAAATCAAAAATCATGAAAACTTTCAGAATTCACAGCACCAGACCCTGACCCCTAAGAAGCGACAACTTGCTCCTTTTAAGACCTTCGCAGAAATTCAATCTTCACAGAGACAGCGGTGTCTTCGAGGGGTCTCAGTGGGCCTTGGTGTTTACCAGAGAACAAACTAGCTGCAAGGCCTTTTCACCCCACAGCAGAAACAATCTTTTTGCTCATCAGCACACAGAATTGGGAAGAGAAACCTACACCTCCATGACTAACCACAGTGGGATTAGAGTGGCCACAGGACGTAGAAATCACAGAAGGGAGTGAGGGGGACCTCAGGCCAGCTCCCGGCAGAGGGGAAAGCTGTTTCCTCTCTGCAGCCCAGCGCTTGGAATTTCAACACATTCTCCCGTCTCTTCCTCTGATCCAGCCGCTCCCAAGCACCTAATCCAGCCTGTGTGCCAGTCTTGCCTCTGATGCCTTTCCTCTTCATGACATGTGGGGCAGGCGATCATGCCCAGATACGAATGCTGTGCATCTGACTAATTCTGTATCTAAAATGTGGAATGGAGCATCCCTTCCGGTTTACAGCCCTGCTGCCCCTGGTGTGGTCTGCAGACCTGCAGCACTACCTGGGAGCCTGTCAGAAATGCAGGCTCGCAGGTCCTCGCTCAGGCCTGCTATGGCAGAGCCTTCATGTTAGAAGACCTGGCGTGAGTCAGGCACACAGCGAGAACATCTGAATGAGTCCACCTGCCATAGGGTTAGGAACTTACATCCAAAATAAGCACCTTTGGTTATTCTGGGCCAAATAACTGTGAACAGGACCCTCCCTGAGTGGAACAGATACTAGAACCACACTTAAGCAGCACCCAACTGCCTTCACAGGCACCAGCCTCTCCCAGCAGCACCTCAGAAGCTGAAGTGAGGGATCTGCTTTCTGGCAGCCATGGCCAAGGGCAGCCGCATTAGCAGTGGCATGCCAATGTCCTTGTCCAGGATCAAGGGACCCTCTCTAGGGTGTGCAGCAGGGCCACCCTCTCTGAGGGGACTGCACGCACGTGCCACTGCACACCACATTCCCCTAGCTTTATTCTCATGGGCTTCAATGTTATTTTCAATTCACTGAATTGGAGAGAAATAATGGAAGGACAGACTTTTAAAAATGAGAAAATATTTAAATGATGCTTAAAAAGATGTGATCCCAGTGGGAACGTCTTTTCACATCACAAAGTTTTCTTGATTTCTAAAGCAGCAGAGTAGTGTGAATGTCATATTTAGTTAAGCCATGAAGAAAAAGGCACATTATAGGACCACTAAGAGATCAGAAAACAGACAAGCAAAGAAGAGCAAAGGCTAGAAAGAAATGAAAAAGTACAAATTTCAGAAAAATAAACATATGTGCATACAACATGCACACTTGAGAGTTACAAGCTAATTTCCCTAAACATTATACTGATTATCCAAAACATACACAACCACCATGATATTAAGGCTTAATCTCTGCTTAAATGAACACTGACCTAAAGGAAAAGAGAAATTAGGTGAAAGTCACACGCACAGAAAAAGCAGATCAACCTAAAAAAATTATAAACATATCTTCACCCAGAAAAAAATTACAGAGAATTCAATATAAAGGACACAAAGTTTGATTCCATGATAGACGAATGCATAAAGCAAAAGAAGAAACTGCTCATGTACAAAGAGGAAGGTGAGGGAGTGGATTTACAGGTAAAACGAGCAGATTGAAACAGAACAGATGAGTAAGAAATTTGAATTACAACAATGCTAGGACTCCACTTCACTCCAGAAAGAATGACTGTCATCAAGAATCAAGCAACAACAAAGTCTGCTGAGGCAGAGGGCAAAAGGAAACCCTTCCGCGTTGTCAGTGGGAATGCAAACCTGCAAACTGGTCCTGGAGGGAGGTCAGCAGAGAGACTGCTCAATAAAACTGAAGGTAGAGGTTCTCTAGCATTTGGCTCCCCTCCTAAGCATCTTCCTGCAAGACTTAAAGTCGCCATAGCCCAGGGAGCCGCATACACCCAGGTCTACAGTGGCACAAGTCACAGCTGCTGCATCTTGCAGCGCCCTGTGTGGCTGTTAACAGATGGACGAAGAAAGCAAGCGGGGTACTTACACTCAGTGGAGCATTCCTGCCATAGAGAAAGATGAGCTCGAGCCACGTGCTGGACAATGGGCACTGAGACCATAATTAAGTGAAATAAATCAGACACCCAGGCTCTAATATGAGAAGGCCAAAGTGTAAAGAAAGCAAAACAAAGGACAGATAATAGCAAGGAGGGAGAAGAGATCTTCTCAAGGGGGAAGGGGATCAGTGATGTGAGGGAGAGGTGAGAACAGAGGGAAAGGGGACAAGAAAAAGAATTCAGATGTGTCACGCACACAGGCCAGCTCCCGTGATGAACGGGATTGCTCTGTACTGCAAATACAGACTAAGAAAAATTTTAAAATACAGTGAAACCGCAAACTGCAGCCTGGAAATATGAGAACAAACTTTCTTCCTGGAGCTGGTCTCTTCCCAGGGCCTCCATCTATGGGTAGTGCTGCCTTTCAGCCTGTCACCCACTCTGCTGGCTGGCTGAACGCAACGGAACTGCAGTCATCAGTCGCCACTCACAAGGAGCATGGAGCACTGTCCCATGTCCTCCGCCCTCTGCGGTCGACCTTCCACTCACAGCAGCTTATCCTTGTGCCAAGAGGCCCCCTTCTCCAGGCCATGAGGTGCTGTCTCAGCAACTACACCACCTCCTTTCTGAACCCCATAGCCCAGTTCATTCAGGAAGCCTCCCTGCATGCTGTGCCCAGAGCACAAGCCGTTCCTGCTCTCTGTTCAGAGAACATCCGACTCAGATCTCGCCACTGAACACAGGGCCCCAGCGTCCCTGGGTTGCCACCAGACAACAGCCTTTTCATGCTCAACTCTAGTGGCAGGTCCTGTCCCTCTGAAGGGTGCTTCAGGATGTGCACTGGATGGATGGATGGATGGATGGATGGATAGATGGATGAATGAACAAACAAATGAACGTGCATTAAAAATTAAATGACAGGGAATTCAGTTGAATTCAGCTATGTTAGGGCTGGACAAATAGCTCAATGGATTAAAGTGCCTGCTTAGGCAGACACAGGGACTGGAGTTCAATCCCCAGCGTGCCTTGCTGGCCCTGCCCCTGGGGTGCGCTGAGATGGCAAGTGAGACTGGGCGTGGTGGTGCGCGCCTGTAATCCCAGCACTTGGGAGACTGAAAACAGGACGATCACTATGAGTCCAATCTGTGTAGCGAGATCCTGTAGACCCTGTACTAAAATACAAGAAAAAAAAATCAGCTATGTAGGGAGAATTCCCATACCAGGTAAGAGCTGAGGCCTGCCCCATGGCGATAGGATAGTCCCCATGGTGATAGGATAGACAACACATGTTGTTTCTATTTGCTCACTCTAACTCTACCCAGCTTGTTGTAATGCTTATCAAGAAGATCTGACTTTTCATTAGTTTGATCTTCCTTTAAGACACGAACAATGGCTGAAGCCATTTCAGGGGACCCATCCCAAAGGTCAACCACTGACAGGACTCACTGAACACATCTCCTCTGGGTTTCTGAGGGTCTGTATGTATCCTGTTGTCCACTGTCCCTCCGGGGACGAAGGTGCTGATGCTTGGTTCTGAGGTGGTTGGCTGAGCTCTTGGCCATTCTGGGGTTGGCGGCAGCGGTGGAGGAGTTCTGTGCTGTGTTGGCAGGGGTGGCGGCGGCGGGGGAGTTGGCTGTGGTGTTGGCTTTGGTGTAGGTCGCGGTGTTGGCTTAGGGGTGGGCCTGCTGGTAAGGACAGGAGGGATATACGGTGTCCTCAGAGGCCACTTGGTACCTCCAACCTCTGGGATCCAGTTACTTTGTCCTCCATCACCCTTTATAACGGTACTGTTCCCCTTCGGCACATGAACTGGACCTGAAGGGTCAATCATGACTTTGGGAACATCTGAAAGAATAGAGAGATTTCAATTGATATGAGATCATTATTCTCTAAAAGTACATCATCAAACTGTAAAGAGGACACACAAAAACATCTTACCGAGCTAGTCTTCCTTTTGATATTTAGATTATTTCTTATAGCAAATCATGCTATTTTTCACCTAACAAATGTGTTTAGAAGTAGCTAAAAAGAATTAGTATTTTCCACAAGAAATAATACGGATTATTTGAAACACAAAACAACCTTCAGGCATCTCAGTTCTCTAAGCACTTGAGTGCATCCTATTTCTACCTCCAATAAATCCTTCCCAGGTCTTTAAAAATAAGTTTTGAATATTTGCAAAGTGGTAACAAGCGACAGTTGATAAGACTGTATAAGTAGAGATAATGTTAAGTACTTTTCAATATGAGAGCTGTACAGCATGCATATGGTGTGCTGCTACACTACACGTGCACAATGAAATTGTATTTAGATCTAACAGACTAAAGCTCCTCACCCGCACCTTATGTCCATTCAGTTAATGTTTAACCGTTTGTCTAAATGTTCTACATAGGGTGTTATAGTTGGTTTTCCTTCTCGCTTACTAATTTATACAACTGCTTTCTAAAAGCAATTCTCAAGCATTACAAAGAACATTTTTGGAAACTTTTCCTTGGTAATATTCACCAAAAGCAATCAATAGCCTGCCTGGAATGGCATCCTACAGACTAGGAATGACAACTGTGTGACCCCTCAAAAACCCTCTAATCCCCTTGATTTTATGGCCCATGGTTTTCCGTAAATATTTTACTCTGGAAACCTTAAAAATTATCTAATGTTACATGAAAAGAATGCTAAGTTATGGCCTTGGTTTAAAAACTTTCATCTTGGAGACTGCATTTTCTTCCTGTTTGTCTAAGGATACAGCTATAATTGCTTCAAACACAGCTTACAAATTTAAAAGCAAAAGCTCTGGATGTAGAGAAAATCAACATGGGAATTATGCCTTAATAGAATTGGAAGGCATAACTCAGACAAAAACAATGGACTATTATTATCTACTAATGATGATCTGATGCTAATGACAAACATTTATTTCCAATTTTAACACAATTATATTCTAACTTTGTTTCTAGCTAAAGGGAAGCTACAGAGAGGTTTTTTTTTTACAGAGAGATTTTAGGCAAGGAATTCTAATGCTTATAAGATTAGATTACTGGGTTTTTTAAAATACATGGGCAAGTGATCTTATTGTTTGTCTCGTATTACAGCCATGAACAGAACAGCTCCTTGGGAAACCTGTCCCCGTGTCTTGTGCAACACTGTCATTCATGTGGTAGGGCACAGAAGGGGGTGACAAGAGCAGCACAGCCCACGCCCACTGGCTCTTGGAAGCCTATAGCCTGTCACACATGAAAGGAAAAAGACAATGGGGCAAGTACACATCGTGGAGCACTACTCTGCCATGCAGAAGGATAAACCCGAGTCACTTGTAGGAAAACTGTGCTCCTCGAGACACGATGCTGAGTGAAGTGAATCTGACATAGCAGCTTAAATACTACACAGCTTCTTGTATGTGGGAAACCCGAAGTGCAAATAAAGAGCAAGTGAAAACCCACAGGAAACAGGGCGGCAGCTCCTTCACAAGTGGGACGGGCTCAAGACGTGGAAGCAGGACGGAGGGAAGGGAAGGGACAGAAAAAGAACAGCAACTGGGTCTGTATGTGCACCAGCCCCCACAAGGATGTAACTGTTACGCACTGCAAAGGTACACTAATAAAAGTTTTAAAAGAAAAATTTTGAAAAGCTACTCACACACACAGTTCAGCCCGTCACCCTGGTAGCCTTCTACACACTTGCACATGTATGACCCGTGCACGTTGTAGCATCGGGCAAAGGTGCTGCACTGGTGCTGCCCGAGGGCACACTCATCAATGTCTGTGCCAGAGAGCAGGGAAGAAATGGTTTGTTTAGGAGCCAAATAGGATGACATGAAAGCGCAGTCTCAAAGAGAACTCCATGGTGGGTGGGCGGGGGGCACACTGGGGATAGAAACCAAGGCCTTCACACTACGTGACGACCCCAGCCTTTTCTTTTTTAATGTTGAGACATGGTCTGGCCAATTTGCTAAATTGTCCAATTGGGCTCAAACTTGTAATTCTCCTTTCTCAGCTGTCAGGGTACTAGGATTACAGGTTTGGGCCACCACGCCTGGCTGGGAGTTTTCTTTTCCCAATATAAAAGTCTGTGTAAAATCAGAAGATAAATGGACTCAGTGGCTGCACTAGACGTCAGTCAGTTTCATTTAATGCTGGTCCCCTCCCCTTCCCTGGTATGGAAGAGATCTCTCAATGCCACAGGGAGAAATGAATATACCGTAACACTGGTATTTGCCTCCAATGTACATGAGGTCGAAGCCTTTGTGGCACTTGCAGATGTAACTGCCGAAGGTGTTGACACACTGCCTGAATCTGGGGCAGGACACTCTCCCGGTGGCACACTCGTCGACATCTAGAAACACAAGATAACTGCGTCTGAGGAGGGTCGAGGCATGTTCTGACGGAGCATGCCTGACGGTCGTCGCTGGCTGCACAGAGGCCTGACAGCCTCGGCTCATCAGAAGCAGCATCCAGCAGGCAGCCCAGGGGCAACAGGAGTTCCTCTCTCCAAATTCCAACTTACCCGCCTACGCAGACTGCTCCTCTCTACACTGCCTGCATCTGCCTTGCTGCTTGCACAAGACGCACGAGTCACCCCTGCCAACTCCAGTCCCTGGGCCTTCTGTTCACCAAGTCCTTCTGACCCTGGCTGCTCATAGCCACTGCCGCCTATCAAGCCAGCGGCTCTGAGCAAGGCTGCTCCAAGAGTGCTAGGCCAGGCCTCCTGCTGCCAGCCTCACCTTCCCAAACATGTGGCCTGCACGCCAGAGTGTGTAAGAACAGAGCATCCCTGCGCTGAAAGCTATGCACCTGGCCCACTTGCTTTGTGTACTAAACCCTCATTTCTCCTGCATCCCACACCATCCTGGCTCCACCTGCACCCCACATGCTAGGTACTGAAGCTCAGCAGCCTCTTTCCCTGGATCAGCAGGCTCCCAGAAGGGCTCCTGGCCCAGGCCCCAGACTGCTGGACTTTTCTTTCTCAGCACCTCTGGTGAACCTGTAGAGCACTCCACAACCTCACTGGGTATTTTCTTTTCTGTCTTCCCACTGCAATGTCAGTTCCACAGGATCGAAATCTTGCCTGCCTTGTTTGTCACTGTCCACCCAGCACTGAGCACTAAGCACTGTGCCTGGACACAGGAGGCACTTACCAAGTGCCTGCTGGTTACCCAGTTCCTCTACTTGTGCTCAGCATACACTTAGTGCACTCAGACCTGGCAAGGGCTCTAGGCAGCATTCTCTCCACCCTCAGGATGAGGAGACGCATGTGCGAAGGAAGGAAGTCTCCTGCTGAGGTCGCGTTTCTAGTACATGGCACAGCCAGGTTCAAAACCAAGGCCCAGGCCTGCCACAGCTCTCTCCTGCCACCTAACTTTCTGGGAAGAAAGCCAACTCCCATGTGGAGTGGCATGTAAAAGCCGGCCCTGCTATCTGAGCCTCACTTACTCCCTGCTCATCTTCCATGGCTCACGCCCTAGGACACCTGCTCCTTCCACGGTGTCACAGAGGGAAATCCTCCTTGAGAGAGAGCTGGGGCCTCTAGAGGACACCAACGACTGCCTCTGCTCCTTCTCCTAACACCACCCATCTTCCCGTGTGCCCAGAGGCTGCCAACAGGCATGCCACACTCACCCACACAGGTCCTCCCATCAGGAGCAAGCTGCAGGCCTGGGGAGGGGCACTGGCATCGGACCTGTCCCTTGACAACGTCACAGCCATACTGACAGTTTGCCATGGAGCACGTCAGGGCACCTGGAAAGAGAATGGCTATGAGTCAGAGGCAGAAACCAAAACCTGGAATTGCAGTCCACATGTCCCAAAATCAGTGACATTGAATCAATGAGGACAGAGAAGCTTCTGTGATCCAGCATTTGGATTAAGGACAAAATGGAGGTGGGGAATAGAAAGTCCCCCTTCCACAAGGATATGCTGTATGTGAGCCATTTTTGTCACTCCCATGCTTTGGAAGGATTTGTAGACAGATGTGAACTTTCCCTCACACACACTATGGAAATTTCTCCCATGGCCAAGGAAAGTAGAGAATGGAGGTATTTTCCACATTCCTCCAGCTGGGTGCTGCCCTTAAGCCAAACCTCCAAGTGACTGCTTCGGCTGGATTCTCTCCAGGGAACAGCAGGACCAGGGACCCACCACACGCACAATAGCGAGACCCTTGTAGCACATGTCCCACCTGGTCCCACAAAGGTTCACCTAGGCTCACACAATGTCAGGTGCAATTGGCAAACACTTCTCAGTGTTCAAAATGTAATCTGGATAACTGGTAATTTGGTAAAAATAAAAGTCAAGTTATTAGTTGCTTAATATCAATTGGATGTTCAGTCTGCCGAGAATTTCAGGGCAGTGTCTTTTATGAACACACAGAGGACATCAGGGAAACCAGCCATTTCTTTCTTACAAAGATAGACATGAAATCTTTTTTGACATTATAGCTGCTTATGTTTTACTTTTTTCAATAGAACAATTTTAGACAATTAAAAAAGTCTAGCCTTCAGGTTATTAATGAAGTGAGAAGGCATTTACGAACTATTTATAATCACTCAACAGACCTGACATATTTTCTCTGAACAGCAGTCAAATAATCACTAATGTTCTTTCTTCTACCTGAATTAGTTCTTTTGAGCCCAATGAAAGGAATGAAAATGTTGGGAAAAAACACTTAGGAAATGTCCTCAGTGTTACGATTGTCTTAAGTTCTATTTCCAAATCAGCACTAGCGTCCATAGTAAGAGAACGTCACACATCTGAAGTGAGCAGCTCTCAGCTGCGGCGGTGCATACCTGTGACCCCACACTCTGGGACTGAGCCAGGAAACAGTACCCTGGCACTCTGTGACAGAGAGTGCTTGACTCAAGATTTTAAAAATAAACATCCAAGTGGGGATGTAGGGATATAGGTCCATGCAAAGGAAAACACTAGGTTCAAACCCTAGCACTGCCAAAAATAAAGCAAAATGAGCCTCTCTCCTTTTGATTTCTGCTCCTGGAAGACACACTTGAACACATGCACACGCCCTGGAGAGGAGGCCGACAGGCCACTTCCACAAGGCACACAAGTGACAGCACTCAGGCGACAGCTGGGATTCTTGCCATACTTGCGCAGGAGCCGTCGGGCATTGGCATGTGACCACTGAGGCAGTAGCACTTGTAGCTGCCGAGAGTGTTCATGCAGCGGTGCTTGCAAGGCCGTGGCTTCAGGCCACACTCGTTCAGGTCTGGAAAGAGGGCAGTGGAAAAGGAAAGAAAGTCACAAACCTCGGCACTCACACAAAACGCTGAAAGCTTCTTGTTACTGAAACCTGAGGGAGAAAAGTAGGTAGAGATATGTGGTGCACACGATTGTCACAGACACCGGAGATGAGTGCTTTCAATGGGTGTCCACCTGTGGCCGCCAGGAGTGGCCTTGGCTCCCATGGGTCTGTATGAATGGCCTGCATACATTCCAGGAACCCCACTCTTCGTGGGCAGGGTCCAACATCACCTCTCGGCTGACTGCCAACAGGTTCAGGGCTTCTGTGTTTCCAGAAGACGTGGTGTGAGCATACACAAAGCACCTTTTAAATGACTGGGAAGAATACGAATTTTAAAAACATCTGACTGTTTGACCTTCCCAAATGACAACCGTACTTTCAGAAGATAAGAATTACATGAACTAGACTGAACGTTAGTGTGGCTTGTTTTTTTGGGTAGAGTCTAGATTGATCTCAGATCAAAGAAGAAAATTCAGTTTCCTACTTTAGTAATGCACTCAAGTCAGAAAACTTTGAAAAAGCCTTCCGCCAGTATATTTTTATCCTTTCAGCAGGGAAGAGGGGCATATGGAAATGCTAATGGACAGAACATAATGCACGATCGTTATGCATTTTACGTTTATTGGTTTAAATATCAAGATGAAATAAATTAACGAAACCCACATTATGAAAGTTTTCCAAGTTGAAAACTGCCTCAAGTGACATAAAACACATAATAACATCCAAACATGGAAACAGGATGCCCATTAAATAGACTTCATTAGGAAGAAATGTGACCACATGTTTATGTACCTGATTAGCATAATTTAATTAGCTGTTAATCTATGTACTGAATACTAAATGTGAATAATATATCTAGCTAGCTATTTTTCAAATCTGCTCACCTATTAGGAATCTATGTGCTCCATTTAATTACCAAGCTATTTTTTAAATCATCAAATAATTACTGTAACTAAGAATATTTTCACATCTTACTGTCTTCTCAACTTGTTTTGTTTTCTATTCATAACAAAAACCTAAGCAGGTCCTCAACTGTGTAATGCTGAGAAAGGCCATAATAAATAAAGCAAACACCACTGTTCCTTCCTACACCTTCCACAATATGCTACTTTATTATTTCTTGCTTGGCCAAGGGTTTTCAAAACAATATTTCAAAAGAAAAAGTGTTCCTCATAGAAGGTGCTCTGCAGATGATACTATGAAAAGGTTGATTTCTGTCTTTACTGAAACAAAATAAAAGATAAGGAGGAATGACTGACAAAGAAATTCCCCTTTCTCCATTCTTCCTCCTTGCACTTGAATACTTATTGAAAACCCAAGCCAAGGAATCTTCTCTCTCAACCTCTAAGAGGAGTTGTCATTCCTAGCTCATGCAGAGTTACACTCCGCACAGATATATCCCAGACTGATACTATACCAAATATATTTAAATTTTAGTACACTACAAGAAAAAGTTTTGTGTTTTGAATATTCTTTCTTCAGTAAAAACTAAACAGCACTAGAAAACAATAGTATAGGGGTATTGATAAGATTTTTTTTTCAAAGCATTAAGAGTCCCTATTTTTAGAGAGCCACAGAAACTCTTGTGGGCTAGGCCCAAGGTTCCCACCTCCAGGGGCTCCTAAGTGAGGAGGAGCTTGGGAGCAGTGCATAAACTTGGAAATCTGCCTGGGTGTGGCCTGGTCTGAAGTGGAGGCTGCAGGGCAGCCCTTCAACTTCTGGCTGCAGGGCATCCCCACAGCCAGCCTGCCACAAAACGAATTCATCCTTCACTCCCCGTGGGAGAGGATTGTGAGGGTAGGAATCATGAACCAAAAGGAAATAAAAACCATAAACTAATTCCAGAGAAATCTGGGAATCACTCTGTAAAACAATATGGAAAAGTAAGACAACACACAGCATTCCATGGCAGATGCAGAACCTTGTCCTGGCTGTTTCACCTGTTGGTCCTGTGGCACACGGCACCCAAGTCTACAGAAAGCAATCTGAGAAAGATGTACTGTCACAGCTATTGAGGAACTCCGTGACATTACCCAGCAGGTGGCTGGGTTACTAACCCCAGGGGGCCATCACTGCCTCACTTGCATAAGGCCTTACAGACCACCTCAGACATAAAACACAGGTCCACAGCACCCTCCTCACCAGGGTTTATCAGTGCGGGATGCACAGCAGATTCTGCTGAGGTAGAAGCCTCAATCCTAATTTCTTTCTCAATAAATGAAAGAAAAAAAAAGCCTCAAAAGATGAAATGTTGCTGGCATCCTGGGAAGGACGTTCCTGCTTCTCAGTGCTCTTGAAAGTTTCTAGTCCAGAATTGTGCTACCTTATGTTTTGTATTGATCCAAAGCTTTAAAAATCAAATCACTATGCACTGCTTCCAATAAATGCCATATTCATTATCATAACTTGTTAATCAAAATTGATATTGACATAATTGATAAATGACACTGTTATTATTAGAAATTCAAAATAAAGACTATGAGAAGTCTCCTTGGTCCACACTATCTCAGATCTTAAAGATTGTTAAGAAAAACCAGGAAATAAAACATTAGTGGGTTTTTTGTTGTTGTTGTTGTTGTTGTTGTTGTTGTTGTTTGTTTCTTTGGTGGACCGAGGGATTGAACTCAGGCCCTTGCGCTTGCCAGGTAAGCGCTTATTCAACTGAGCCATCTCCCTGGCCCCAACATTAGTATTTTCATTTTGAATTTGCTTCAACCTTGATGTTTCTCTGGAAGTGTGCAAGAAAATATAAATTATCAGGTAAAATTTACAATAAAAATGTAATGAGTTCTATCATGTCCTATCAGCGGTTTATAATTAGTCCACTTACATTCAAATGCTTTAAATGTAAAGTACACAATTCTCCAGGAGCATTAGCACGAGAAGAGCATTTAGCAGTGGGTGGGTGGACCTGGGCACTGGGTGGGGAGGAGAGAGCAGGGAGGAGGTGCTGCGCCAGAGCGATGCAAGCTGCACAGCTTTAGGGCTGCACTTCGGGGGAGGGGGCTCGGAGATGATCCGCATGCAGACGTTGCAAGCCAGTTTGAAGACAGGAGAGGAGATTCGCTGAGTGAGAGAGCTCAGTGGGGCCTTCAGAATCGTCGCATTCATGTTAATGCATTTGACTCCCCTTAGGGCAGCGTTTCAGGAACATAGGTTTTCAAAATTTATCTGATGAGAGTGAGGTCACAGGCAAGCAGATGCTAATGTATCAACCTCCGGATCTTCAACTGACTAAATTACAGGAAGATATTCAAACATGCCACATTCCTTATCAGCAGAGACAATAATTACTTAAAAACTATTTTCTTGCAGTCATGCTAAGTTCCTAAACCTCTGAGTGGGTAAGGAACAAAATCTCTCAGAACAGTGAAGTTATCCAACAACATTACTGTTGTGCACAACTTTCCAGCACAATGAGGATGTTAAGATTTTTTCAGTGATCCTATTTTCATACCAAGTTCATAGGCAAACAGGGCAGGGGCTACTGTTACATCAAGACTGATTGGTTGGCTGAGACCCAAGCACAGTACACGACCTGCTCACAGTCAACGGAAGCAGAATTTATGCTTTCTGAAGCTGCAAAATGTACAGTGCAAGAAAAAAGCCAGTGTGCAGGGCAATTCCTAGGTGAACCTAACAACCTACATCTCCAGGAGACAGTGGAGAGAGGGAGATTCACTCACTAAAAGCCACCTGGCAAGAGGCTTCCAAACCCCAATTCAGTTGCTGCCAAGTTCCTAACTTGACCTACATAGGAAAACTAAGGCTATTTGCTATCTGACTTTTGGGAAACATTTTAAAATCCAGAAAAGAGAAGAGAAGCAATGATATTAATACAGTAAAAGGACAGCGAGGGCCCCACGTTTTGGGACACAGAGAAGGAGCAGCAGAGGACAATTCCTGCCATGGGCTCCACGTGCTCGGGCCGAAGGTTGCATACTCCTGGCCGGACTCCAGCACATTCGCAAGATGTGACACAGCGGCAGGAAGCCGTGCAAGGACAGAGCAGGCCACCTTGACAATGTGCGCTCACCCTGTGAAGGTAAACTGGTGGCTTGATGATCCGGGGGTTGGAAAGGAGGCTGCTCACTGCCTTGGTCAGGAGGAGCCGGGTAGGAGAGGCCGTCTTCACACCGGAAGGAGGTAACAAGAGTCAGCTGTGAGCTCGTATTGTTTTTAGTTCTAAAAATCTTCACAGGTATATATTAAACGATTACACAAAGTTGATGAAATTTAAAAAGAATTCTTTAGCTACTTCACAAAAGAACAATTTCTAGTTCTGCCGTCTTTTAAATTTTATTTTCCTAAAAACTTGTATCATCTTGCTTCCCGAAGGCAATATGCATGTTATAAATTAGCAATGCAGCATTCTCATACTAATTTTTAAAAACACTAAAACATAAAGGGTGATTTTTAAAACCATGATTTTAATCAGCAACAGAAGAGAAAAAAAAAACAAAAAAAATTACAAAAATATAGATACACTCAACCTACTCTGTTTAGGGGTATTAAAGTATGAAATTACCAAATTAAGACCTTTTTCATGCAATGTTGTTATATAACAACAGTTTAAAATGTACAGAGAGTATGTGCAAATTTATGATTTCCATGGAGATATTATTTAAATAGTAACATGTTAGCTCAGTAATGTCTTCACTCAGAAGTTAAGCATGTATGCCACGTTTAGGTCACGCTTAATTAAAACAAACATGAAAGCTTTACACAAAAACATGGTTGCCAATATTAGCTATTATGGTTTAGATCTAAACTGGCCCTCAAAGTTGCACATGTGCAGAGGTGCAGCCTGGTCACAAGGGGCAGGTTCCTGAGGCCACGGTGGAAAGCCCCTCCCTTGTCTCTCTGCCTCCAGCTGCTGCGAGGTGAGCAGCTCTCCCCTCAGAGCCTTCCCCCATGCCCTTCCTGCCTAGAGCAGCTTTCTCTGGACTGAACCTCGTGAACCGTGAGCCAGATGAACCTTCTTATCCTTCAACTTGTGAGGATCAGGCACTGTGTCTCAACAACAGGAAAAGTAATACCTTACCTTTGTAACATGTTACATCATAGATGCAACTCAGAGTAAAGCCAAATGTCAGCCTCATATTGTTTTAACAATTGGTTAAACATTCAAATCAAAATACATTCATTTCTGGGGTGGAAGCCATATTTCTCTCAAAAAGTAAGACTGTAGGGAACATTACGTGATGCTTAATAAAGCAATCCACTTTCAAGTGTAACTACTACAAACTTAATGTCTGGTTCTATGCTACAAAATACAAATTCTTTTCTTGGGATGAGGAATTCATCATTAAGAGACATAAATCAGGACAAAATATTAATGACTGATATTTATAAATCATTTCTTCTAAAATTAAAATGCACTATGAACTCAAAAGAATGTCTTCCATTTCTAAAAAAAAAAAAAGAGATAATTCTCTTAATAGTTTTGGGTTTTGTATGGGGGGGGGAAGAAGGGAGGTGCATATGGACAGACTTGAGAAGGAAAATATACACATAAGTAAAACTGCCAGGGAATGTGCGGTGCGGGCAGGCAATCGATCAAAGCAAATGTGGGCAGCATCTAGGTTAGGTCTCACATTGTACACAAGGTGCTGTAGGTTCGTGACCAGTCCCAAACTATGACTTCCTGTCTGATCTTGGACAGCAAATCCAGATAATGACCCAGAGGGAAGAGTGACCCCAGCGGGGACAAGACTGCTAATCGAAGCCAGCTTTCAAGTGCCGCTTTCCTGGCTAAATGCCTGCTCCCAGATGGCCCCTTTAATGTGGGTCACACTCCCGCCCTTTATTCCACCAAGCAAGTCCCCAGGGGGAGGTTCTTTAAAGTTTATAACTCAAAGCAAACTTCTTAGCCAATACTTGCCTCAGACTAAACCTACTTTTAACCAATCACTAATTTCTGGGTCTGTAAAATGCTTTTAAATTTACTTCTTGACATTTCTCTCCTTCAGAAAAAAAGAAACTGGTTTGACTGCCCCTGTTTGAGATGTACTTGCTCCTCTATGAAGGCACATGGGCCTAGGCAGAGGCATCTCGTGTGGACAGTTTGTTCTCCAAGGGTGGAGGGCTCTCGGGCAGTCCTCACACTTCCCACACCTCCCTTCCAGCCTCTCTCAATCTGGTGGGCTCTGGATCCATGGAATAAGAGACCACCTAAGCGGTGGCATCAGACAACTCCAGGGAACCCTTTCAAGTTCCCACAGCATTTAGAACCACAAACCATAATATCAATCAATCATTTATTTAGCAAATATTTACTATGCACAGAGCATGTAGAGGCCACTCACAGCCTTCAGGAGCCCAGAGATCAGAGACAAAACACAGGGCCTTGCTGACAGCAGGAATCAAGAATGTGTCTCAACTATCTTTTTGCTCATTTTATAAGAGCAAGGCAAGAAATGACTAAAACACATGCATTTACTCTAGAGTTTTATTTTCAAGATTGGGCTTGAAATTACATTGTGAGGGTCGGTGCTATTTTTGCAGGTGTAGAATCCATTTCACCATTACAAATCTTCTCTTTCCTAAGAAATATGGCTCTGGACAGCAAGATTTTAACTCAGCATTTTCCCATTCTCTTTTAAAAACTAGGTATGCATTACAGGAAAAAGTATATGGTAACTGGCTTCCTGGAAATCAGAGATGCTCAGGAATGGAACTTTTTTGCAATAATAGTTTTAATGTCTTTGAAGGAATAAAATTGATGCAGCACCTGTGGATAAATTTAAGTGAACTTCTCTGCCATCTCAGAAATAGCTTCTTTTTAAATAGTCTTCTTTATGTAAATTCCTGGCATTCAGACGATGAAGTTTTACAGTGTTGACATGTTAAAGAAACTGCACTCCAAGCATGAAGCTACTATTACAAATTGCCATCTTCAGTGCAGTTGCTTAGTTCACAGGTGTCTGTATATATAGTTAGTCAGGGTGAGAATCATTCCAGTTAACTGCTTGATTCAAAAACCTTCTGAAGATTCTCAGGATCATTGCCTTGCCCATCTTCTACATATAACTGTATGGCTTGCCCCTGTCATGTTTCCTAGCTCTTCTCCTTGCTCTCATTTCATTGGCTAGTACTTAAGTTCTTGCTTTCCTTTTAGTTGTATTATGCCTTTCTATTTGTATTTCTTCTTTTGAGTTCTTATACTAGGGAAACTATATGATATTTACACATTGTGTGTCTGGTTTATTTCACTTATGAGTATATCTTCAAGTGGCATCCACTTAAATATAAAGGCTTTGAGTTATCAATACAGGCTGCTTGTCATGACATGCCAGTTGCTGCCATGATGTCTCTCAGATAGATGACTGTTCAAAAAGAAGAGGGTGGTGAATGAAGGCAGGAGACAGGAAAAGGAATATTGTGGGACTGTCCTGCTTCAAGGTTGTATATGGTGAGATTTCTGGACTTATGTGCAAACATAAGAATTATACAATTCTTTATGCCTATTTTTAAAATATATTTTAATTTTTTAAATGTTTTTTCATCATATTCTGTAGGGACTTAAAGTTCAACATATCAATACTTGATGAAAAATACCTGTTTCATGTTATGTCTAAGATGTTTGATATTCAGACAGATAGTCAGGTTAAGCTTGGCAGCCCAGGTTATATGATAATAACAATAAGCTTCTCTTCTGGAGGGTTAACAACCTAAGTTTGCAGACCAAAATTAGAGAAAAAGGAAGGCCACAAGGAAAGCCAACATTTTGGCCCTAGCCTTCCAAGGTCAATTAAGACTCAGGACATATGAGAACTTGTACTGTAACATCATGTAACTCAGTAGTGTCCCAAATTTTCTGATCAAGGAGATTATGGGGCCAAAGAGGAAAGTGATCGATGACGTAGAGTATGCCTAAGGAGAGTCACATGGAGAGAAAGCATTCTCTCAGGCTTTCACAGAGAGCACATTGGCCAAGCAATGGCCATGACTCATCTACATGGCTGACACTGACAAAGGATCTACAATCTGAGGTACAGGGTCTCAGGATAAATCCTGAGAGGATTTCACTGACCTTATCAGATCCAAAAGCTACAACTCTTGTTGCATAGGTCTTGCTTTATCTTGGTCTTAACCATCCAGCAGAAAAGTATAAAAACGAAGTGTAAGAAGTAAAGCCATGGTGTTATGTTGAGCTGTAGGGGACTCAGGTCAACAATTTCTGACACTGCCAGTCAAGCGGAAGACCCAATACTATTATGGACTACTGTACTCTTTTAGAATATTTTGCTGAGTTAACACACCTATAATATTCAAGTAACAGAACTAAACGAAAAAGGGGATACAGATGAATGTCCATTTTGTATCTGTGTATTCAAAATGGTTAGGATAGATTTATAGTTACATTCTCTTAATGAATAGAGAGATTTGTTCTAATAGTGTTTATAAATAGGATATCATGTCTGCATCTTTTACAGCAAATAACCACTAGGAAGAGAGTATGCAATGTATTAATTATTGAAACTGTTGTACCAATTTGATTTGAAACTGTCTCTTTGCTATATGTCTCTCAATAAAATTATGGGAAAAAAAGAAACTGCAGAGGTTATGATTCTCACATTAAAAGAAGAGCACTCAGACCCTGTGATGAACACTGATGACTCAATAACCAGAAGATAGCAGGCTGCTACCTGTGAACTCAGGGGGCTGGGAAAGGAAAGTCAGATGAGCTGTTCAAAGATTCAGCCATGATCATAAAAATACTACTTGTTCGAAAAGGATTACCCAAGTGTGTCTGGTAAATCCCAAGGTTATAAAAAAGTATCAGAAGGTCAAAAGGGAGCCTTGGAAAAGTCATGTATTAGTTATGCTGATCATCCAAGAATGTGCTTCAGGACAGGAGCCCTGCTACCATTGGGCACATTTCATTAGAGTGGATTTCACCATGTACATGCTCATCATCTGTGCTCTGGGTAACTGCAAAACCCGTGACCATGACTCGAACTGGTAAGACAGCCCTCAAGGAGTGCCTGGAATAAATATCAGCTACTGTCTGTGTCAACACCACCGCGTCTGCATCGGGTGAAGTCTGTCAGGTGGGCATGGGATGGTGTGATGTGACATGCATATTTCATGTGACATTTAAAATGAGAGGGAGTAAGTATTACTGTAAGAACTATCAACAAATACACTGCCTTTTTCTTTTTTTAGTAAATCTAGCCTGAACTTTAATTGTAGCTTTTTAACTGCAAACTTTAGCTAAGATTAACTAAGAAGACACACCTAATTCAGCTTTTTGGGTAGAATCTGAAGATCACAGCAGCTCTATCATCCAAAACCAATGAAGCAGAAATAATATGGGTTACAGAGGCAATAGCCCAACCTAACATACTAACTTTTTAACTAGGTATTTCTGTGAACTTGGGTAAGACATGTAATACCCTCTCAGCTTCAATCTCTTCAAATAAGAAGTGGAATAAATGTTATTTATATCATCTCCCAGAGTTAGGGTAAAAACAGATTTTAAATATGTAAGTTCTATTATGGGACACTGTCAGAATGACATTTGTGTTTATAAGCAACTGACACTGATATTTTTAATCCAGCTCAAAGCTGAAGGAAGAGAGGCTTCGACATGATCAAATGGCTCAGAGCTAGAAGGGACCTTCAAATTTCAAGCATTACACCCTACCATAGTGGCTCTGGAGACCAAGGGGGTATAGTGGGGGCATAAGGGTGCTCACGGTGTGCACATGGCCTCCCTCCCCTCGGCTAATAGAAGAACAAGATGTTACCCTTCTACACTATTGACAGTGATTCTCTCTTCAAAACACGTTTTAATTAGCTTAATCATCCTTTAAGGCAAAAAACCTGTAAGATTCACCAAAATTGTAAGAGTCATCATTATTCTTTTGTCCATCAGCAAAATGGCCACTTCCTCACGCAGGGAGGATGGCTGATAATCTAGCCTGGGGGCAGTGGCTGGCCCTACCTTGATTGCAGGTTTTCCCGACATATCCAGGGTGACACTTGCACTTGTTTGGCCCGACACATTCGCCATGCTTGCACTGTGGGTGGCACACAGCTGAGAAAAGACAGAATTGTGCATTATTTTTAGATCAGCTACACAACAAGTATACAGCACTATGTGATGGAACAGTGTGGTGATTTACAAAAACAAAGAACTTAAAAGAGGCAGAAAAGAGCAAAATCATTGTTTCCTGTAGATAATCATATACACTTACAGTTCCCACATATGTGTGTATATGTGTGTGTTTGTAATATTTGGGGCTGTGAATTTTTCTAAACTTGAGGGCAAGATTCAACAGAGTCATCACTGACATTTGTCTATAGCTTTACAATAACGCACATCAGTAACTTCACCTCGTCTCAAATGCAATTCAAAAAAGTAGTTCTTAGTCCAAAGATACTAGGTACATATAAAATCCAGACAAATTAAGTAATAAAGTACTTATTTTATCAGCAATGATCATCTAAGCATGAAATTATTTCAAATGAATCATAATCAAGAAGGCCCAGCAAGATAGCTCAGTGGACCAAGCACCTGCTTAGGCAAGCACAGAGACCGGGGTTCAATCCTGGCACCACACGTCACACCAGCTCCATTCCTGGGCACACTGAGCCAGCCAAATCCAGGCACAGTGGCGCATACCTTTAATCCCAGCACTGGGGAGGCTGAAAACAGGAGGATCACTACAAGTCTGAGCTGCGTAGTGAGACCCTGTACCAAATACATTTAGAAAAGAAAAGAAAACTAATCTAAGACAATATTTTGATAGTTGAACTTGAGGCTAGCACCAGCATCCTGGTCTTTCTCAACACTAAAGTATATTATCATTGTCCTTGAGGCTATAACAGCCATTCTATGGCAGACTGGGTCAAGCTCACAATGTAATCTTTACTCTCTCCCATCAGCATTGCTCCATTTGCCTGAGAGCTCCAAATGCTGTAACTCACCACTCGGGGTCTTTTCCCAGTGTGAGTGGAATTTGTTCTGGTCATGCCCATGGTTCTCAGTTTGGGCTCTTCAGCCCATCTGGCATATGTGACAATGTCCTGAGCCCCTCTGGCTGACACATGTGCAGGAGTGCTACTGGCTCTAGGTGGACAGAGGACAGGGATGCTGCTAAATATCCTAAATACAGACTACCCACCCAAAAAGACCAGGGTGCCAACACTTAGACGGCTTGCTCCACACTGCGCCTGGCATGTCCACAATGCTGGACCAGATACACCAAGACAAAAGGGAAGTAATGCAGCACTGTTCCTGGTTCCAGGGGGCCTACGGTCTAGACGAAGAGGCAAAACACCCAGGTGTTTTTAATGCAAGGTAAAGTTTATGACTGAGCAAAGCAGGTGACAGATAGATCTGAAATGTGAGGACCACCACACAAGCAAATACATTCAGACCTATACAGAAAGCCTCACAGGCAAGGCTCGCATTGGATATTGAAGCACGAGGACTATGAAGCCTGAAGGGGTCACAGAACAAACAGACCAGGGCGAGCTAGTGGTTACTCAGGATGCTTTCATTACAAGACAGAAGACACTGGAAAAGAGAGCAGCAGTCATGCGCTACGAGTGATATCACATGGAGTCTCTTTAAAGTTCACCGTGGAGTGCACACTGCATCCACAGGGAAGGGGACATTCCCAGAAGCTCATAAACAGGAGGCCATGGACATGAATGGAGGCACCAGGGTCGCGAGCAGGGTGGTCACGAGTGGGGCACGTGGGGAGGCTTGCGGAGGAAGCACTAGTGGTCCAGGGAGACTGCGCAGGCACAGCGTGTGCTGTCGGTGAATGTGCAGCCCTCAGGAACTGCTGAGCAAAAAGGGGCTCGGCCTTAAGACCCAGGGGAACAGGCACAGAGACCCTGAGGTCTGGAGCCCCTGAAACCTGTTCTTCCCCAGCAGCCCATCCTGTTGGCCTGGCCGGTTCTGCTTCCAGCTTCCTGGCCAATCCTCCAACACCACTTCCTTCAAAGCTGCACGTGTGTGTGCCTGTCCTCCAGGCTGTCACCTACATTCATCGTTCCCTTACCAGCCCTTCCCTTGTCTGGCTTCCATACAACTTCTTTGCTAATTTTAGGCTTATTTTCTGCTGTCCCACTGCCCTCCCTGAACAGTGCTGCTCAGAGTGTAATTACTTCAAAAGATGACTGGCAGGGCAGAGTGAGAGTAAAGTACCTGTAAAACCCCCACAGTATGCCTTTCGCCATGGCATCGAATTCCAAGGGAGAAAGTTCTGTTGAGATTTGTGAAAAGAAATGATCTAGAAGGACCTTTTAATTACACCCTCAGTGAATTATACACATAGTAAATGTGTGCATCAAACGTGTGCATTGGTAAAAACAAGTCCCAAAAATGAACCACTGTGCAATTTCTAGGCTTCACCACCAAGAAATCCAAGTTTGAAAACCAAAATTTAATCTCTACAAAAAAGGTAATCCACACATCTTAAAACTTACATGAAAACACGACCTGAACACTCCAGTATCACACAGACACTCATAATGTCATGTTAAAAAAAAATAAACATCTCAAAATCATTACAAGCTAGTCAAGGTAAAAGTCCCCTGGAAAAACTGGAATTTGAAAATATTGTTAAGAACTTGCCAAAGTAGTTCAGAAAGTGCCACTGAACACCATGAAGGTGGATTTCTGCAAAGGTTTTTGTATGGAGAAAACAGGGAGTTTCAAAATAAAAAAATTAAGCATTCCCTGTGTTTTCCTTTAAAAAAAAAAAAAAAAAGCATGAACAACTTTATGTAAGGAGAGAACATTTCGAGGAAGATTACACAGGGCCTCCGGCGGGTGTTACCTCTTGACCCCCAACCAGCTGCTAGGCCTCCAAGGTTAGGGCTCAGGTGCTCTCTAGGAACAAAGGGCTTTTGTGTCCCCTCTTCCTTTTTATTATTCATGCCCTGTCTTGGGCATCTCGCACGCACACAGTCCAGGAGGGCAAGACCGTGAATGTTTCTTCCACGTCTGGGGAGGCAGGATGTTGAGCAAAATGCGACTGAACTTCCACGTGAGAGGAAACTCCTCAAGTGCCTGCACCGCTGTCAGGTTAGCCTGCAGCTGTGGAAAGTGAGACAAGAGCCCTCGGGCCCAACCAGTCCACCCTTTCTACCTAGAGAGAGGATACCCCAAAGACTTTTGATGAAAAGACTTTCTCCTATTACCCTGTTGGCCTTTGGCCTAGACTCTAGCAAGTTCCATAAATAGTTATGGGACACTCGTGATATACCATGTTCTTATTCTAGACAGGTGTGAGGCAACCAGAGGGTCCCAGGGGGTGTGCGAGCTGTTTCCCCAGGGACCAGGGCTATGGGAAGGGTGGTGGCAGAACACAGGCATGGGTGACACTGTAACAGCGGGACGTGGGGACGCTCAGGTGTGAAACAGACAGCTGAGACGGGAGACAGCAGCGCTGAGAAGCCAAGCCCCCCACTGCAGCGAATGCAAGAGGTGAAGGTTCTCAGCAGGCCGGGTGTGAAGTGTGGAACACAGCAGATGTGATCAAAAGGAAAGCTCAAAGTGATGACACAGGCCAGCTGGAGTCCCTGGATTCTTTCCAGGTTCTACTTTTCCTTTTCCCTTCTGTTTTAGCATAGATGTGCTTTTGTATTTTTATTCTTATTGTTTTGAGTGGGCGATGAGTTGCACTTCCTGTGCTCCTTGGCAGATAACACAGTCAAATGACTAAACTCTGGTCTGGGTGAGTGGGTAAGCGGCGGTCACAGGAGGGCCGCTTTGGGGTACTACTTACTAGGGGCCTGGGTGCATAGGTAGGGGTCACAGGAGGGGGGCTGAGGCTGTCTCATAGGGGTGAGGAGCTGAAGCTATGTCTGCCTAGAATATGCAAGTCTTGGCTGAAGTGCAGTGGCCTTTTATGACCCTGAGGTGATCTGGGGAGTGAAAAAAAAAAAAAAAAAAAAAAACCAAGGGAGGTCATAAGATGAACCCTAAATTCTTTGCATCACTGTTACTTCTGGTCAAAGAACTGTCTTTGACCAGCCTGTGAAACCTAGACTTAATATACATATTACCAAGCCACCCAAGGGTATGCACCCAGGAGAGGGTACTTTGGGTGGATTTTAGTAGAGAAATAAAACTCATCCAGTGCATTTTGTAACTAGAGTACTTATACTCATGGACGAAGAAAGCCTTCATCACTGTATTTAAGTAGCCAGTTTGGAAAGTACATAGTTATTTTAAAACTAGAGAAAATGACCCCCAACTCTGAAGCAAACTGGCCCATCTTTCAGGCACTGCTTTGATGGTAAGGTGGGTCGCAGCGGCCAGCAAAACCAATCTTCGCAATGTATGTCTGCGATAGCAGCACACCCACCTGCCTCCCAGAAGGCAAGAAGGGGCGCACAGGCCATTTTCACTTGGCAGTGATGTTCTAGCACACAGAAAGCAGGTGATGCCCCAGGCTCAGGAGGAATCCCGGGCCTGGCGAGGATCAGGCAGATCAGGGAGGGCAGTGCTGCTTCTTTGAGCCACCTGTGAATAGGAGCAGGTGGTCCGGACCATCTTCCATGGGTCACTGTCCTGGCATACCATCTGGCTCGCCAATTCAGTTAGTACAGTACAGTAAGGACCACACTTGTGATTCTTTTCTGCCAAAGCAGCCACCACGATGAAGCCCAAACAGATAAATTGCACTCAACATTCACTCGCTAACATTCCTGTAACCTAATCCCCAAAAATGCCCTTAAAATAACCTCTAAGTCATTGTTTTCACTAGAAAAAGAAACAAGTCTCAACTGGCAAAGCAAACATAACTCTGTGATGTCACATGTCCTGCCCATCTATCTGACGGTGAGATAAAATTTTCCTCTTAAAAACACATCCAGGCTGCAGGCCAGAAAAGAATGCTTCTTTCTTTCTGGTGACAATGCAAGCTAGTACAACCACTGTGGAAATTGGCGTGGAGACTCCTCAAGAAACTAAAACTAGAATCTCCATTTGACCCAGCTGCTCCCCTTCTAGCTATCTTCCCTCAAAAGCCAAAGGCATCCTAGCACAGTCATCCGTGCGCACCCAGGCTGGCA